CTATTAAATTCTCTTTGTAGGGTAATTTGACAGGAGTTATTAAATGTTAAAAATATCTATCACCTTCAACCTGTCTATTGGAATTTTAGGCATCTGTGCTCAGAGAGACATATATGCACATAGAAGCACTTATAAGCATCGTCACTGTAACATTATTCATAATAGGAAAAAACAAAGATCTCTTAAGGACCACCAATAGGGGAAAGCATGCACGAACCAAGATAAATTCTTTCTGTCATTACCGTGTAGGAATTTAAAAAATGAAGTAGACTTCTTCATATTTGCATGAAAAGAGCTCCAAAGGGAAATGCCACTGAAGTACAGTATATAAGATACTCTTCTGCTTATGGCCCTATAATGAGGCCATGTGGTAAGAAAGTGAGGGCAGCCCACAGCCAGGGAGGAACTGAATCCTGCCAACAACCACATGCCCGAGCTCAGAAGCAGATCCTTCTCCGGTCAGGCCTTCAGATGGTCACAGTTACAGCCGCAGCCAACACTTGGCAGCCCTCTGAGCGACCCTGAAGCAGGGAGCTCATCTAGGCTGTGCCTGGACTCCTGACGTAGAGAAACTGAGATAATAAACATTGTTTTAAGCCCATAAAATAAATAAAATAAAATAAAATAAAAATTATTCTGTTTATGGGGGAAAAGCTATATGTATGAAAAAAATATTTATATGCATGTAGGGGGATAGGTATATATCTGCACATATACACAGAATATATGTAACTGTATACTTACATATACATAAATATGAAAAAGTATATATATAAATGGTTTAGCTTAATAACTCTCATTGTATCTAGGGAGGGCAGTAGAATTAGTAGTGGGGAAGGAGGGACTTTGATTTTGTGCTCTATACCTTTGCAAGGTTTTGTTGCTTTTTTGTTGCTGAAAGGTAGTGATGGGAAGGACCCAGTTCACACAACTTGGAGAAGGGATTTGATCTCAGTTAATTGGGCTCCCAGTGTGATATTTTTTCCACTGTTCACCAAAAGAAAAGAAGAGGCACTTTCTGAGGCGAGGATGATTAAATAGAAATAAATATGAGACATTTTCCTGGCTATGAAGGACACCGTGGAATTTTCAGACACTTTCCTCTTACAACTAACCTAAATAGCCATTATTGAAAGTGAGATCCACTTACTTTATGTGCAGGGAGAATGGCTGCACCTACCACAACCTAGCACATAGATTGTACTTTTAAAATCTTCTCAAATACCCCACATATTGTAAATCTTTCCCTTAACTTTCCTTGTTCTTTTTTCTTTCCTCAGACTCTGGTAATTTTTCTACAGCTAACTTAAATCTTGGAAAGAAAGGACTAACCCAAACTGAGTAAATAAAGACTATTTCTTAACCCTTAAATGACACATTGCCTTAAATTACATCCTAGAGTAATTTTAATTTTAAACAGTAACACAACCTTAGAGGCTCCTTTGATGTGAAATTTACTCTGACTTTGGTTCTCCTCTCTTACTCCTCTTCCCAACCAATAATTTCCTGCATTTGGCTTCCTTTAATTTGCTTTAATTCCTATAACATGGAAAAAGAATATTATATAGAATATGTCATGGACTTTGAAGTCTGCTGTACCTGAGTTTTTATAAGTTTTCTGTCATTTGGAGAAAATCATCTAACTTCTCTGCATGTCAGTTTTTCATCGGTCAACTGGCAAGAATAGTAACTCATGGCAAAAAAAGAAAGATGAAATTAGAAAATATGAAGGGAATAAAATGAAAATACAACATATCAAAATGTGTAGGGCACAGCTAAGACAGGACTTAGAAAGGTATCATCTTTATTACATATTTGAGAAAAGAAGAAAAGCTGAAAATCCATTGTTTGAGCTCCCCAAGAAGCAAAAATAGGAAGTAAAATAAAACCCAGAGATAGCAGAAGGAGTGAAATAGTATAGCTAAGAACAGAATCAGTGAAAATCTATACACATACATACAGTAGAAAATGATCAGTGACCTCAGCTGCAGTAAAGATAATCAAAATCGACAAACCCCTAACAAGAATGAACGAGGAAAAAAAGACAGAAAATACAGACTACCAAGATCAGAAAAGCAGAAGAGATCTTAAGGCGAATTAAATGATGAATAACAGTACAGTTTCTTAGGAGGTTTGTGAGAATTCACTGAAGCAATATACTTAGAGCACCTAGTACAGTAACAGGACTTATAGAAGACATTCATGTAGTTGTTGATACACTTTGACTGAGCACATGATCTATGCTGGGCGCTGGGAATCCTCAGGTGAGTTGATGGTTATGTGTGAAAGTGGGGGGGAAAGCCTGGCTCTGGACTCCTCAGCGGTGAAGAACAGACAAATTTTTTAAATTACATACAAAAGGGTGAAATTACATTGATGACAAATGCTGCAAATAAGAAGTGGAGCATGAAGCTGGTGCATGTAAGTACATGTAAAAAGGTTAACTGACCTAGAACGGGAGGTCAAGGGAAGGCGTCCCTAAGGACGTGATAGCTGAGATGCCATCTGCAGGGCAAGAGGACATTAACTAGGTGAAGTTAACTAGTAAGTGCTTCTGGCAGGTGAAAGAGGAAGAGAAGGTACTCCAGCATTGGGAAGAAGCATGCTCCGATGTGACATCAGTGTGGCTGAAACTGGAAAGTAAGGATGAGGGGGTGGCTAGATATAGCAGAGGAGATAAATGGGGGTCCGATTTTGTGGGGCCTTGTAGGCCATGCTAAGGAGTTTGATCTTTATACTAAAAACAATATGGAGCCATTTGAGTTTCAGGTCTGCATGCGTAACATGACCAGATCAGAAAAGGTCACCCTCCAAATAGTGTGAAGCATGGACTGGATGTGGGTCCCATTAGACCTACTGATGCCAGTCAGGTGGCTATTGCTGCTGGGCAGGACAAAACAATTTAACTATGGTTTATAATGTAAATTAAATTGGAAATGACTCAATCATGACAATCAATAACGGACTGGTTAAATAAATGATAGTAAATAAAGACAATGGGTTAGCATGCAACTGTAAAGGGAATGAGAAATATTAATGTACACTGTTACGGAGTTACCTCCATTGCATTGTTAAGTGAAAAAAGCAAAATGGAATGGAAAAACTGTGCGTATAAATGGGGAACAGAGTAGAGAGCCCAGATATGAACATGCAACTCTATGGTCAAATAATCTTCGACAAAGCAGGAAAAAGTATCCAGTAGAAAAAGGTCTCTTCAATAAATGATGCTGGGAAAATTGGACAGCTATGTATAGAAGAATGAAGTTTGATCATTCTCTTACACCATACACAAAGATAAACTCAAAACGGATAAGAGACCTCAATGTGAGGCACGAATCTATCAAAATCCTAGAGGAGAACATAGGCAGTAACCTCTTCAACATCGGCAACAGCAACCTCTTCAAGACATGTCTCCAAAGGCAAAGGAAACAAAAGCGAAAATGAACTTTTGGGACTTCATCAAGATCAAAAGCTTCTGCACAGCAAAGGAAACAGTCAACAAAAGAAGAGGCAACCCACGGAATGGGAGAAGATACTCGCAAATGACAATACAAAGGGCTGATAACCAAGATCTATAAAGAACTCTCAAACTCAACACACACTAAATAGATAATCACGTCAAAAAATGGGCAGAAGACATGAAAAGACACTTCTCCAAAGAAGACATATAAATGGCTAACAGACACATGAAAAAGTGTTCATCATCGTTATCCATTGGGGAGATTCAAATCAAAACCACATTGAGATACCGACTTACACCAGTTAGAATGGCCACAATTAACAACACAGTAAACAACAAGTGTTGGAGAAGTTGTGGAGAAAGGTGAACCCTCTTACACTGTTGGTGGGAATGCAAGTTTGTGCAGCCACTTTGGAAAACAGTGTGGAGATTCCTTAAGAAATTAAAAATAGAGCTACCCTATGACCCTGCAATAGCACTACTGGGTGTTTACTCCAAAGATACAGATGTAGTGAAAAGAAGGGCCATCTGTACCCCAATGTTTATAGCAGCAATGGCCACAGTCGCCAAACTGTGGAAAGAGCCAAAATGCCCTTCAACGGATGAATGGATAAAGAAGATATGGTCCATATACACAATGGAATATTATGCCTCCATCAGAAAGGATGAATACCCAACTTTTGTAGCAACATGGACGGGACTGGAGGAGATTATGCTGAGTGAAACAAGTCAAGCAGAGAGAGTCAGTTATCATATGGTTTCATTACTTGTGGAGCACAAAGAATAACATGGAGGACATGGGGAGATGGAGAGGAGAAGTGAGTTGGGGGAAATCAGAGGGGGAGACAAACCATGAGAGACTGGACTCTGAGAAACAAACTGAGGGTTTTGGAGGGGAGGGGGGTGGGGGGTTAGGTGAGCCTGGTGGGTAATGAGGAGGGCAAGTAGTGCATGGAGCACTGGGTGTGATGCATAGACAATGAAACTTGGAACACTGAAAAAATAAAATAAAGTTAAAAAAATTAACAAGATAAAAGAAAATAAAAGTCAAAAGTAAATTTACTAAAAAAATGCTGTTTATTTAAAAGAGGTATATATATATCATATATATATATGATATATATATTCTATATATCCTGTATATACCCTATCCATATCAATATATATATCCTCTCTCTCTCTATATATATATATTATATATATATATATATATATAATATATTGCATTTTTAAAATAGAAGGCTAAACCTGGGCAAAAGAGTTAGAGAGGGAAGGGGGAGGAGAAAGGGAGGCTAAAATTCTCTGAATACAAATTGTTTTGTAGATTTGATTTTGGGACCAAATATTTTGCATAGTTATAAAGCAAAATTAAGTATAAAAAATCAATTCATAAAAAACAAAAACAAAATGCAACAGATGAATCAAGTTATATAAGAGTTAGTGGCATAATCATAAAAATGAATTAATTGAAGTAATATAAAACTGCAGCCCTTTGGGATCTATCTAATAACAAAGAAAACTGAAAAAAAAAATCCAAAAGTGCTTTTAACATTTTTATTGTTATTCTGAGAGTATTATGTAGGAATGACTTCAGAAACCAATTTCTAACCTGCACACTCCTATGTCTCATGATGATAGTAGATTGGGTTACAGTGCTGACAGTAGAGAGAAGTGGGTGGACTAAAGAGATACTTAGATAAAACTAACCAGAATTCATGCTCAGTCGTCCATGGGGCTAGATGTCAGGGAAGAGTTTAAGAGGCCTTTGAGGTTTCCCGCTTGCATCATAGGATTTTGGTTTGGAGCATGTTGAGTCTTAGGTCTCTTTGGGACATCCAGGTGACGTCAGGTGGCAGCACTCACCAAAGATGATCTTCTGTTGGTTTTCCCTTCTACCTCCTTAGCACATTTTTTTTTTTTAAATGGGGATGGGTGGGGACTACTTTTCTAGTCTATAGTGTCACTTAATATTCTATTGTTTCACAGATCTTGGTAGTCATGCCCAACTTAATGTCACCTGCACATTTTGTAAGAATGCTTTTACTCCATTGTCCAACAAACTGGAATAAAACAGGTGTGTTCATCAACCACACCATGAGTGCTTATTCCAATCACTGTATTAGGTACTTATGTTCTCTATCGTTTAAAGTTACTCACACATTTATAAAGATATTATTCTCTCCAGCATACTAATGAAGAGACCGAAGATCAAGAAGAGTAAGTCCCTTGCCCAAAGTTACAAAGCCATACAGTAGCAGTCAGCACCTCTGGTCTATTTTCTGTCATTATGTCTCTTGTTTTTCAAAGTCTGGGTGCTGACTTAGGGGGCTCGTGGTCATGGCATTTAGTTGTACCGACTCACATGGTAAGAAAGCTCCTGTGTTATATTCATCCAACTTTCTGTTCTGACATGGAGAACAACTTGGTTAGGAGGTGGTGTGTCTTAACACCGAACACTTGCTAATCTCTGTTTTCATCTAGAGAGCCTACCCCTGAGGGTCAGAGTCTTGAGCAAGTAACAGCGTAGAGCAGGAGTTTAATTGCATTATCTTTTTTCATTATGTTTCTCTTAGGGATACCTTCTATTTTTAAGTGATATTAGTGTTTCCATTTGTACAGCAGTAAAGAATTTCACTAAAAATAAATCTGAGTAAAAGAAACAGAGCTAAAGAAAATTATTATGTAAATAAAAGTAATGGTGGTTCAGAGAAAAGGGAGGACGGACAATCAGTACATGACATTAGGGTTCAAGGGCTGACCTCTGGAAAACAATGCTCCTTACCAAATCTCCTCCCCCAGTTACAAGCATTACTGCTGGCATTGCCTCTCTAACAGAAATTGAAGGCCTTTTCTTGACCAAGAAGTGATCTGTTACCATCTCACTTGGGAACTGTCACTATTCACTGGTCATTGTGGCTCACTAGTGAGCTTGCTGCGGACCTCAACCGCTGTGGGCCAGATGGTATCTTATTCCCCACTGATCAGACTGGCATGTAGGAAGGAATCATTGCCTTTAGCTGCCCACTGTGTCTCCCATGCCAGGATTTCAGGAAAGAGCTAAGAGCAAAGTGTGCATCACTCATAAATTATGGTAGGTAATAGGCAAGACAATGGACTAATTTGGAAATCTTAGCCTATGGTGGTGATTTTTTTTTTTTTACTAATATGCATTCTAGTATTAGAACTATATTGACTAGTCTAATTTCCATCCAGTCCTCTTTTTTAAACTTCTAATCCTTCAGTCTTTTATGATAGTACCATGTTTGCACATTTTGTTCCTTCCTCACCATCACAACCCCTTCCAGCGACAGAAGTTATATTTAGAAGATCTGTGAGAAGTGGTGGTAGATGGGCTGCCTTTAAACATTTTTATGTGTTCTAAACACAAAGGCAATAAAAACTCCCTATGCTACGTATATTTTTAAAGATATCATTGTCACATGAAATAATTTTGCTTCTGTGTCCCCTAGGGAACTGAAAAGTACATTATAGTCATTGTAATCCTGCTGGGAGAGAGACAGTATCTTCTCTTCATTCTTTGTTATGCCTGATACTATCTATTTAGCATATTATTAAGAAATCTGTATCTAGAAAATGCATTTGTATTCCTCTTATTTCCCATGAGAACGGCAAAGCCAGTACTTTTTCTTTCTTCCTTTCTTTTTCTCTTTTTTAAACCACTGGGCCTTGCAGATTAGGATCCAAAGCCTGGACAATATTAGGATTAGGTTTTGCATTTTTGATGTACTAAGTGAAGGTGGAAAATGTGCCTTCCTAAGTCCACAAGGTCAAAGAAAAGACAGGTTCCATCTTCCTGGGCGGGGTACCTCCAGCTCTACACCCGCTGTGCTATCTATCTCAGCACCTGAGAATCTAGTTTCATCACAGACGGACACGAGGTAAAGGCCTGACTTGTGCACCTCATACAAGGTAAATATCTCCACTGCAAAAATGGAAACCCATCCCGTGTTCCTGCACAAACCGGGTGAGTGTACGCAGCCGGTAGTGGGTGTGTGTGGGGTGTAGGTGGGTAGTGTTAAACCCCTTCGCCGCTACAGCGGGGGGCCCTTAGGGTCCCCCAGGCCCTTGACTCCCGGCCCTGCCCTGACCATTGTCCGCACACCTCTTCCCTCCAGCTTCCGGGCCGCGGGCGAGATGATTTGCTGCAGATGACATCAGCTCTGGGCCAACGGCTGGAAGAGCGGAGGCAGCCACCGCGTGAGGATGTGCCGGGTGGTCCTTTCCTCCTCCTCTTCCTCCTCCTCCCGGCTCCCAGCCTAGTCTCCATATAAAAGCGGCGCCGCCTCCCCGCCCTCTCTCACTCCCCGCTCCTCTCCGCCGCGCGCTCTAGGAGAGGGCGGAGGGGGAGGCGGCGCGCAGCGCCAGGAGGAGGGGGGACGCAAGGGGCGGAGCGGAGACAGCACCTTCGGAGATAATCCTTTCTCCTGCCGCAGAGGAGAGGAGCTGCGGGAGTGGGACACTTCGCCCAGGCATAGCGGGCCGGCAGGATGGCGACCGTGGTGGTGGAAGCCGCCGAGCCGGAGCCGTCCGGCAGCATCGCCAACCCGACGGCGTCCACCTCGCCTAGCCTGTCGCATCGCTTCCTCGACAGCAAGTTCTACCTGCTGGTGGTAGTCGGCGAAATCGTGACCGAAGAGCACCTACGGCGCGCCATCGGCAACATCGAACTCGGTAAGAGGCCCTGCGTCCCCAGGGGACGCGCCCGAGGAGACCGGCAAACGCGACCCCACCCAGGGCGCGACGGCCACCCTCCTTCTCAGGCGCGCCCCGCACCCGCACCTCCTCCCGCCGCCTCCTGCACTCAGTCTGGAGTCTTTTTTGGGCTAATTTCGGAGAATAATGCTAATTATTAGATTTGAGACCCAGCGGGAGAGTGTCTCCTAACCTTGAGGGATCTATCATCAGCTGGGTCTGCAGATCCGAGCTGGCCACCGCCTCTCCCGCTAAATGAAATGCAGGTGTCAGAGAAGCGGAGGCCACAATAAAGCCCAAACCTCAGGGAGCAGAAGGGGCGGGGGGCCTTGATGCAAACATTGCTTTTAGTCCTCTTCTGTCCCCCGCAAAATGCTGGGACTCCCCTCTCCCCCTCGCCGGCAGACCCAAGGCTGAAGCACCATGTGCCAGGGCCCGCGTGGGAATCATCCTCACCCCAGCCACCGTAGCCCCCCGAGAAATGCCTTTTCTGGCTTAAAACCTCCCGATTTGTTCTTTCCTCGCAATGACTAGGCTAGTCCTGGGGCCACACCCGCTCCGCCCCCCCCCCCCCCCGCCACCTCCACCCGGGACGCAGGGATGGAGAACCGCCTGCGCTTGCTTCCCAGACGGCGCCCGCCTCGCTACCGCCCCTGGGACCCTGTTTGCAGCTTTCAGAAAGGACAATGGGACCCCAAGTTGCGGGGTGGGGCTTCTTCTTTCAAAAGTCTCAGCCTCGATAGTGATGGCTTAGGGGGAAGGGGGGGTCGGGGGTAGGGCCAGCGCCTCACCCGGTGCGCGCACTAGGAGCGCGCTCTTCAGAGGCCGAATAGCGGTTCGCCTGGAGCCCTGGGCGGGGCCGTGAGGGCCCGACGGGCGCAGCCTCTGGCGAGCGGACCGACCCGCCCCCCCCAGCCCCACCCGGGCTGCCGCAGTGCTCCCATCCGCTCGCCGCACCTGCCCCCCGCACTGCGGCGCCCCCATCGGGCGCGGTCGGTCGGGCGTGCGCTCCGCCGGGGCCTCGGGCATGGCGCTGCGTTTCCCCCACCTCTCCCTCGGGCCCGGCTTTGTTGCATTCGAAGCCCCCCGAGGGGGCAGCTCTGGTCTTTGCCTTTGCCTTACCCCCCTGGCGTCCCAGACCTCCCCTCGCCCCTGACCTCAGTCGCTTGGTCCCTCCGCAGCCCCAGGCCGCGCTCTATTCTCTTGGGGTGGTGCTGAAGCGTTTCTGCCTGGAGACACCGGCTGGTGGGCGTGGTGCAGTCCGCACTGCGGTCTCTACGGCAGCCCGAGGCGGACAAAGGGCGTTCACGCAGCCCTCGTTCCCCGCTCCCGGCGTCCCCCCACCCCCATAAAACACGAAAGGAAAACCTTATTTTCGATGAAAAAAATTAAAGCCTGTTTTCTGACTCCGCATTTGGAAACGGACACTTGTCCCCAGAACAAAAGGCTGCAGGGTGGGGACTGGAGTTGCAGACCTGGTTCTTTTGTTTAACTTTAAAGCACTGATTTTCCCTTTCAGGTTTAAAAAAAAAAAAAAAAAAAGGCAGAGTGGAGTCGTGTATTTTCACTGGAAAAACAAATTCAAGAATAAGAGATCTCAATAGTGAAATGCCTTACTTGAGCATCTCAAAAATGCTTCCTTTTCGAACTATAGGCCTTTGATGTGATCCCTCCTAAGTCTGTTTGCACGTTTTCCCCTTGGAAAATGTCACCCGTACTGACTTTGGGCGTGGCTGCTATCTGAATCAATGATTTTGGATTAAAAACAATTATTGTCAGCACCGTTGCCAGGAATAATAATGCACTAGGAGGTGCTTTGCTCTCCATGAGATTTTCCGAACCACCCGATGTGGGTCCTGGATAGAGACCACCAACCCCATTTTAGAGATGGGGGCCCAGAGAGGCAGGAAGGATAAGGGTACCCGCTCAAGGTCACGTCACTCCGAAGTGACAGATGTGCCGGCACTGCACCGGCACCGGTTTTCTGGCTCCATCATGATGTCAGAGCAGGGCAGGCAAACATCAGAGGAAGATCAAACGGCGGTTTTCAGAGCTCTGCTTTGTATAGACCTCCACTTGTGGGCAGCGCCCGTGCAGGGAGCTGGCTCAGCGCTCACCTTCCTGCCATAATTACCTTCCTGCTTTGTTACTGTTCCGACCATCCTTTCAGTACCCTATTCCTGGGGTATCAATTCCGTCGGAGGAAAAAAATAGACGCATCCAGGTAGCGCTATGATGTGCCCTGCCTTTACACCTTTTCATACGATTAGCATGCAGGAATAAAGTTCAGATTGGTCTTTTTGACGTTAAAATTTTTTAAAAAATTTATTGAAGTAATATAGAGAGAGGAAAAGTCACCACTCACAGATGAGGAGTTCCGTGCATTTCCACAAAATGAACACACCTGTGTTACCCAGACGGAGGAACAGGGAGGGCTAGAATCCCAGAAGCCCCGTCCTGTTCCCTTTTCAATCACCATGCCTTCTTGATTTTTAATTCCCTAATTTGGTCAGGTTTTTGCACCAAACACCAAAATTGCTGTATTGATCCCATTAACAATCAATCAAGTGAGTGAGCAGAGCCATTTCCTCACGCCCAGGAACAGATGCTGCTTTTTCCCTGGAGATTGCTCTCCTGGGTCCTGTGGTCTCAGATGCAGCTCAAGCTACCAGGGCCTTCCAGGACTAAGCGAAATTGCTCCCCTAGCTCTTCAAACAGGCTCAGATAACTTAGCAACAGGGCAGGGTGGCTCTGTTTCCTGGTGCCTGCAGGTCCCGGCTGGGTCTCCTCCAGAGGTCACTCTGCTTCCCCTGCTATTGTTGCTGGTGCCTGTGGGCTGCGTCCTGTGCAACGAGATGGAGATGCTCCAGGGGCGTTCTGCTCCCATTGAGTGATACAGGCTGGGAATTCGGTGCATCATTTGCTAGCCTTGCTTCTTATTTCCCTTCCCATGTTAACGGATGTTCTGTGGATTTGGAGACCCTGGTGACTTGGAATTTTGCCATGATTACTGAGGGTTCTTTGGGAAGCTTAGAAAGAAACCTGTAGGAAGACGGTGGTAATGCGATATATCAACAGGCCTGAAACATCCCAGTGTGGATGCTCAGTGAAGCTTTTTGAAACCACGGAAGAGAGATGGTTCCTTATTTTCTCACTGTATTCAAAATGTGGAATGTAATGTCACTTCATATCTTCTCAAGTTTGAAAGCAGTAGTCTTCCCTTGGACTGGTGTAGTCTTATTTTGTTAGTTATACAGCACTTTATGCCAAACCAATGTCGTTCCCACCAAATGCCACTCCTTGGTACCTCTTTCGCCCTCTTCCTAATTAGCTCCCACATTAAACTTAAGAATCATTCCCATTTTCAGGAGAGCCTCCACTCCTCCAGTTTATTTTAGGACATCGACTGCATATATCCTTGGCTTGCAGACTGAATTCTAGAGCCTTATGCAAGTTTTCATTGCTTTATTTTATTACTTTATAGGAATTAAGACATAAAAAGAATACCAAGTGTCAGTTTGATGCTTTCATTTGCAGCTAAAGAGTGTAACTTTTTCTCTGGGTCACACTGGGAATCAGCAAGATTTGTTTATAAAAATATAGATGTGTTTAACATGTACTGCCCCAGATTTTGAAGTATAAGTTTAGCTGATTATATTGTAACCTTCTGATGTTACTTTATTGATTGTCTTCAGTTTCAGGATGGCCAAGAGAATCAAGAACCCAGGGACAGATTTGGGTTTAGTTCTCATTTTATTTTAACAGGAACAAACCAGTACAAGGCAGAGGTTTGAAGAAATGTTGGAGAGTGTTATACATATTATGTTCATCTTTATATTTTTCAAAGTCAAAAGGCAGATGGATTTCTACTTGTACTGCTTAATTGGTATTATCTGGTAAGAGTTCTGTGATCCATGCTGAAATCCAAGCCACTCCCCAAATGTAAGGTCATTAAATCGATGATTCATCCTTAATCTCCTCTAAAGGCTTACTATTTAAATAACTTCTAACTTTTAGACCAGTAAAATTATAAATCACTTCTTTTGTTTGTTTCCAATGTGGGAAGCTATCAAAAGACCTAAATTATTTATCATCCATGCTTTGAAAGGATGGACTCTATGTAAGGCATTGCCTGCATTGCCCATAACTTATATGTTAGGAACATCAAGTTCTTGGCTTAGGAAAAAGAAAAAAGCCAACTGAAAATTTGGTCAAGAGAAAAGATAGGAAAACTTCTTTGAGAAATAGACCTTGAATTTAGCTCTTTTTTTGTTTTAATTCTGTTCCTTTAGTTGATGATTCTAATCTGCCTCCCGATCACTTTTTTTTAGCATAGTTTTACAGATCAAACTTATAGTTTATAGGTTAACCATTTAGGTACTAGCAAAAAATATAAAAAAGCCTATGGATCAGAAGGATCAATTAAAAAGTTCATAGGGGAAAAAAGAGTCAATTTTCAAAGGCCCAGTTAACTGTCAGGTGGAACCCATGTGCCATTTTGACATGTAATGAATGATCATTTTGTTGGTTTTTCCAGTTTATTGTCTCTTTTAGGAATATAGGTTTTAGCCTTTTTTTTTTTTTTAAGATTTTATTTATTTATTTGAGAGAGAGACAGTGAGAGAGAGCATGAGCGAGGAGAAGGTCAGAGAGAGAAGCAGACTCCCCGTGGAGCTGGGAGCCCGATGTGGGACTCCATCTCGGGACTCCTGGATCATGACCTGAGCCGAAGGCAGTCGTCCAACCAACTGAGCCACCCAGGCATCCTAGGTTTTAGCCTTTAAATGGGAGGTGCTTTTAAAAAATAGTTGGTTTTATTAAATAATCCTGCAAAATGCTTGCGTGATTGATAGGCTTGGTGAGATATAACCTGTATAAAGTAAGGGAAAGTGGCTCCTTATTGTTTACCCTGACTTGTCCTGTAATGGGCACACCCCATTCCCCCCTGGCAAACACCACCTTTTCATTTTTCCCTTTTCCCTCTGTGAACTTCGTGTGCACTTTAACCTCCCTTTTGTGCCTTGCTTTCTCTTGGATTCGGAGTACTGACATAAAAAAGATCTTTGTTATCTTCAGTTACCTTGGCTGAAGGACTGGGCTTCGGACAGTGGTGGTTTCATAGCAGAGCACCAGCCCCAGATTAGGTGGGAGAGTTCTCAAGGATGCCTAGACGTAGGTTAACTTCCCAGGGGTGACAGATGTCGTCTGGGCCTAGAAATTTAATCAAGGAGGTTGGCCTTCCATTGATGGAGTTGTTCTCTTCTGCCCCAATGTAGGTAAGCCACTAAGGGGCACAGTCTTCATGTAGTGCTGGAGAAGCAAAGGCTCAGGAAAGAGAATGTGGCCAGAGCCAAAGAAGATATTTTTCTGTACTATAAGATTTAGAGGCCCCACTGTTGGCTTCCTGTTAGGCACAGAGGGAAGATACATAATTCTACTAAATGCAATAGGAGCCTTCAGTGAGAAATAGTATTTCTCTTTACTAGTATCATCCAGTAGAAGGCACAAAGTATATTATTTCTAAAATTGGTATAGAAAGTGGCCTCATTCCAAAATTTTCCTTTCCAACTAAAATAACCAGTAAGTCCTTTGTAACCTTTATTTTATAAATGGTAGTGTGTATTATGCATTGTTAAGACATAATTTGGCTGGAAATTAGTCCCTTGAAAAGAGAACCCTAAATTTTTGTTTCATTGGCAGTAGAAAATCTGTGAAATATTATTTTTATTGTCCTTTTACTAGTGTAATTGAAAAATCAATCTCTAGATGGATTTTTCGGTTTTGTGCTTTTCCCCCTGCTAAATTACAAAGCCTCCAACCAGGAGGTTATGAAATATAAAGCAAACATTTAATTGCATGTGTCATGACAAGTTAATTGAAGCCAAGGGGAAAATGGCAAACAACAATGTAAGAGCAAGTCCACCTATAACCCTAGATGAAGTCATTCAAATGATGGAGCAATTTAGACATAACATAGAACAAAGGCAGAAAAATCGTATGAATTTAATTTAAATACATATGTCTCATTATTGACTTAGTGACCCAACTTGACGAGCCAGGAGACAATAATGGAGCTCAGACCTGGCACCCAGAGAACCCAGTTAACAATTACCAATTAAGCCGCTCAGACAGGAGCCTGACGGTTTTTCACACTAGCCCAGTATATAGCGTATATGTTGAAGTAAAATATTCTAATGAATTCAGACCTCTCAACCTGTCAAGCTTCCTGTGGAACAAAAAGAACCCATTTATCATTTCTGCACTAAAAAGATCTGCAAAATCTCACTGTGCCTTTCTTGTTAAAATTTA